CAACTTTGGGAAGTTAGATTTCCAAGAAAAATTTATCTTGACATCTTAAAAAAATTGTAAGACTACTTACGTGCATACATGAAATGTCTGTTGTGTTGTCAACATGACGGCACATGGTAGTAAGTAAATGAGTTAAGGGTAGACACATTTTTAACAAATATAGGTATATATATAATCAAATAAACTCAGACCAAATTTAAAATCAGATATATGAAAATATATACGCAAATATGCAAATCGAATTTCAAAAACTTTCACGAAATGATAGCGAAAGCAACTAGGGCAAACATAATTAATAAAGGACATTTTCTTTCTGAGGAATAATGTCCTGGCAAAAAAGCAAGAAATGATAAGGTAGCGGAAGTACAAATAGAACAAAGTTAATGCTTAATAGCATGGAACTTACGGTTACGTCTTCAAGTGCACCAAGTAGATTAGACCCTAATTCAGCAGCAAAATTGGAAGGATAATAACTTGCATATGATTTTTTTTAGCTTATTGTAATTAGCATGCATACTCTTAAATCATGAATAACCAGAGCTACAAGACTATCAATTACGCTAGTTAAATAAGAACATGCAAATATAGGAACATAATATTGCTTACCCTATTGGTTTGGAAGCCGCATGAAACTCCATGATGAATCGAGCAACATCACCATCAACTTCGCATTTTGAAAAAGCATTCCCGAAATTCGACCTACAATTTGGAGAAAATGAGTGCAAGGCGGACAGCAAGTAATCAGTTATTAACATTCCGGGATATTAGCATACAAATTTTTGGCTGCACCAAAGCCTCCTGGAATGGTCAGGGCGCAGAAATCGCCAATCTTAAAATCCTTTAGCCGAGAAATCTTCCCTCTAGAAATCCTGGCAGATTCTACAATGACATTACTGCGAGGTATGAATTCAAGCAAAATTACCGAGTTTCATTTAATTTATCTCCTGTAATATGATCGATGACTTCAGTCTGAAGTTTGTCCGGAGCGAAACACTCATAACTCATTCCCAGACGCGACAGATGGATTAGAACACTAATAAAATAAATACACAAAAATAAAAAAGACCTAGAAGCTTCAAGTATCTCACTTCCATCGTAAACGCCACATCCAGAGAGAAGCTTGAATTAATTAATGAAAAAAATCGGAAAACTTACAACGGCCACCCGCGGCATGTTATGTCAGTGTAGGGAAATGTTCGAAAAGATCCCAAAATGTGAAATAGGTGTGTTTATTAGACTGCGTCAAGGGAAGCTTTTTCTATTAAATATTTGCCTTAATTAATTTTATTTATAATCGAGGGGACATTGATTAACGATGGCAAAATGTTGTTTTAAATATATAATGGCCTTGTTGTGAAACGGATAGTAAATTTTGAAATAGATTTGATTTTGACTTAATAACCGTCCAATAAATTTTCCTGCTTAAATCTTCATTTCTGAATTAAAACCCCATCGATAAAACGTTATAATATACTGGATACAGTCTTCGAAGCCTCAATTGATTCGTTAAACTAAGAGAAATATTCAAACAGCATCCCAAAATGTGTGTAAAGCTTCGATACCTTAAAAGAATTAAGAATACATTTTTCCGTTTCTGAAATCTCTTACGTCTTATTTAGCCGTAAAGTTAAATTGTCAAAAGCCTTGTGATATAATTGCTAAACGGGCAGGATAGGGCGGGCTATGATAAGTGAGAGAATATGTTTGTCCAAACTAAGGGATTATAGAAAATTCTTTCATGATTTTTAATATTTTGATCTATTTGTCCCTGTGCTAGTTCATTTACTCTATAGAGAAGTCAAAGCATTTGTATTGTGTGCTTTGTTTCCTCCCGTTAGTTACTTTACAATTCTTCTACGCCTGCGAAAATTGGTTGGCTATTATTTGCAAATTACTAACTATTTCAAACAAAAATGAAGATGTTTGTTGCCCTTCGTTCATTTTAGTTTATTCCTTACTGAATCGCTCGTATTTCAGTTTTTACACACCTTTAAATGCATGGTTTGGTTTGTAATGCATACTGCAAATAACATTCGAAACGAAATAATTTAATAAAATCGATATTAATCTTATATAAAATATTTACTCAGATCTAATAAATTTTAACTATTTTTGCCCACCATAAATTTGTCTGCTTAGCCTAATTTATTTATTATTATTATTATTATTATTATTATTATTA